GTGTCTGCTGTCTTTCCAAAATACATCAATCAGCCTGTAGCTGAAACAACAGTGGCACACATATTTATTACATGATTTTATTTTTGCCTGAATGCGTCACAAAAAATCCCCCAGGTCTCTGCTCATATTCGTTCTATTTCCCTGTTATGCTCTCACCTTTTACTCACTTCCCTCCATTTGCTATCTTGCTCCTTTCCCCCTTGTATTGTCTCCTCCCATATCGATCTGAGTCTATCTACAGTCTCATAGGTCATCCTCCTTTCTAATGTCAAGCAACTTCCCTTCTCTCCTTTAGAACAAAGCTCAAATGGCCTCTTCTCTAACATGCCTCCCTGGCTAAGTCTAGTGGTTAAACATTGAGGCTGTGTAGGAAGACAAATCTGCCTTTGAAACCTGTGTCTCTCATTCACCATCTTTGTGAATTTGTGCCAGTCATTTGGCTTCTCCAGGCCTTGCTGTCCTCACCTGTAAAATAGGGATGAGGCATACTCTGCACCAGGAGCTAGTGAATATTAAAAGGGATAATAAATGTAAAGAGCTTAGCATAGAACCTGGCACACCCTTAGCCTTTAACAGTCATTGTTAATCGTAAATTCAAATTGTCTAGAGGGCCTCAAGCCTAAGTCATGCATATATACGGCGATTTCATTGGTAGGTATTTATTTTGACTCTAAGTGTGTTCCTGATACACAGTGGGAGGCAGGGCAGCTGTGCTGCAAAACTCCAATGGGAACAATGCCCCCAGGGGTAGCGCAAGCCTGGGGAGGAGAAGGAGGCTTTTCCTTTTGGTCTGTTTCTTTCCGAGGTTTGATTAGTTTAACTCTATAAATACATTACTTTAATGTTTTAAAGTGGCAGTGGGGTTTCTGGGCAGGGAGAATTTGGGCCTTTTTGTTGGTCTGTTTGGTTTCTATCTTGTACCACTATATTTTTTTTAAACATAACTAATAATATACTTTCAAGAAACTCAGTATTTTAGAAGTTATTCTAGTCAGAATTCGGATTTTAGGAAAAGATGGATCAGAAAGTATTTGTTAGCAGAAAGAGAGAGGAGCATCAACAGTGGATTTGGATCCACTATTTACAAATCACATAATCTCATCAAACCTTTATTTCCTCATATCTGTAAGGCAGCTGGTAATTCCAGCCACATTAGAGTACTTTCTGGTACCTGAATGACATACTGTGCATGTAAAGCACCCAGTGCAAAGTCTGGCATACAACGGATTCCCAAAAAATGGTACCCGTGATCATTTTTATTATGTGCAAGTTGCTGTCCTAAATTGGTGGCTTATAACAGGTTAGAATTAAGATGTGGCTTAAAATTAACAAATTGGGGTTGGTATTAGGATTAGTAGTTAGAGTCTGTAACAGATTAGGGCTAGGGTTGAAATTAGAATTCAATTAAGGTTAGAATTAAAACACGTACAAAGGTTATTATTAAGGATAGGGTTAATTAAAACTATATAATAGAAACAAGAAGCAGTATGAGGGATCCTGGTTTAGTTGGGTGGAAAATTAAAGGGGAAAGCAAATACGGAAACCTGTGTAGAATTTACTGATAAAGAAGAAGTCATACAGAGGCGAAGGGTTAGAGGGCAAAGCAGAACCGAGGCAGGCTTCTGAGATTTTTCCTTCAGGTGCTGTCATCCCCCTCCTAGATGAATATGTAGTATTCACCCTACTCAGGCCGAGTTCCTGCCCTCTCCGCTCCCTGAGAGGAGGCCCGTGGGGAAAGGAATGCCCAGGGCCCACACAGCTGCATCCAGCCCAGCACGGGTGCCAGCGCCACATTCCTCAACCCTAGCCACCCAGGCTGCTGCTGAGTGGATAGGGGCACCCAGGAGCCAGAACTCGCCTTCTCTCCACTCCCCTTCACTGTTCCCCCCAGTTTTCACTGTGGTGACCAGTTCTTTAATCCCACAGACAGCCTACTCCAGACTTTGTGCAAGTCTCTGGGAAACACAGACTGTATGTCATAGCATTTTAGAGTGCAAAGTAACCATAGAGATCACAATGCAACATGGATACTTTTATTTTACCTGTTTTCAGGATGAGGATAATCCTTGCAGGTCAGGCTTTCTTTGTAAAATTCTATTCCTAGTGAAAAGCGTGCCTGTCAGATGCTGGGTGCACAGGGACAAAGGGCATTAGAGTGATTATAGGTAATGAGTTATTCCAAATGGAGACATCTGCCTCTGTAGGAGACACTACCCTTTCACTCTGAGATACGCAGAAGTGGAAATTCCTCAAAGAGGACAATGCTGGAGAGTAATGATTCTCCTTATTCCTCCTGCCCCCAAGAGTATATCTGCCTCCTTTATCCAATACCTTAACCCCTCTACCACATACCGGTGTGAACACAGAAAGTCACCTAACTTCTCTGAGTTTCATTTTCCTCATCTGTTCAACAAGGGGTATTAATTAGGTAATCCTGAAGGTCCCTTACAATTCTAATACTCTTTTATCCTATAATTCCAAAAGCCAATGACTGCTTCCTATTCCCAGGGCCTAAAGTGCTGCCAAACTGATGCTAATGGTGCAGAAAAGAGAAGGAGCCAGTAGGAAAAGAGCATTCCAGAGTCTCATTTGCTTGCTCTTAATAATCTCTCTCCACAAAAGCTCTCGCCCTCTCCTCCCACCCTTGGTTCTCATCCCAGTGCAGTTACAGTAGAGGGTGGGGACAGACCAGCAGAGTCGTTAGAGAATTAAAGGACAGGCAGAAGGGGATCACGGCAGAGTAGCAGATGGAAAAGGTGATTAGTTACAGGAGCTTGGGACCTAATCCCACATCCTGCCATCCCAATCCCACCCATCCCCACTCTCATTCCCCCCAACACTAACCTGTCCTCTCTTAATCCCACTTAGATGATCTCTAAAACTTCTTCTAGCTCCAAAGATAATACTCTTTATCCATCAAGACTCTTTAACTAGGATAGCCTGATCCTTCTTCTCCAAAGCCGTATTCTCTCTTTGAAAACACACCCACTCGTTCCTTTTCTCTGAAGGACTAAACTCATGCCAGCCTAATCCCACCTCTGTCAGAAGGTCCAGTTTTCCCCTTATCTCCCCTCCTGCCCCACCCCATAGTCCAGTCTCACCTCTCTCTTACATCCAGGTGTCTGTATCCCTCAACCACACTCCTCCCGCTAGCTTTGCCTCACAGATTTCAAGGTGTCAGAGAACCCCCAGGGAGGCAGAGAACCCCAGGGCAGTAGAACGGTTTGGAGTCACTAAGATGTGTCAAGGTAGGCAAGTCAGTCAACCCAAGGTGGTCAAAAACTCTTACAAATAATTCTTAATAAACACCCAGACATTCAGTAAGTGTTCAAGAGGTAGGCAGAGCTCTTCTCCCAGAAACCATAGATAAACTCCACAAACAGCGAGAAGAAAAACAGAGGGGCAGCTTTCTGGCTATCCTCAAGGGTCTTCCTGGAGAATATTCTCTCTCATCCTCGCCACCAGTGACTAACATTCATACAGAGCTTTACTGATTACTAAGTGCTTTCCACATCCTTGTCATTGAGTTACTAGGTGACAGAGACATTAAGTCCATCACAAACAGCTGTGAAGCCTATCTGAGAGGAGGAAAGATTACCCAAACGTTGAAGCTTAGCAGTGAGGTACAGGCAGTTCAGAGAGGGGACTGGTCCAGGGCTTAGAAGACAGGCACCCAAATCCCTCATCTAGGGACAAAATTGGCCTCCCAAGATTGGATGGCCCTTTAAAAATCGTATGATTCCATGCCCTAGCCAACACTTGTGTTTTCTACTATTAATTGTCAGTATAACCCTGGGTAGATCAATTCATACCCTTTGGATCTCAGTTGCACCTGTGTAATAAGGGATTGGACCAAATATTTTCTAAGAATCCTTATATACATAAAATTCTTTGATTCAGAGATTCTAAAATTTAGGAATGTATTCCCAAAAGCTAAGTTTGAGAAAAACTGACTCAGAAGGATCTCTTTCTGAGATGTACCAAGACTCTTCCAGAGAACTTCAATCACAAAAAAAACCCAAACCCCAGGGGGCTTGGCACTCATGAGCCAAGAGCAAGTACAGACACCCCGCCTCTCTCATTCATCTTATATCTGGCCTCAGGGGCAAGAACTGCATTAGCCACAGATGCACTGGCCCTTAAGAGGGCAGCTTCCTGAGGGTCTGTAGATCGGATCATTCACCCAGGAATCTTACTCACTAAAATCTGAGAAGGAAGGACAAACTCCTTTGAAATATTAAGAAGAAAAATATTGGGGGTAAGGGCTGGGAGTAAAGTGGGGGAATAGGAAGGATTAGGGGGGGAAACCACTGAGCTGCTTTGTAGGCAGCTTGGTTGGGCAGAGTCTGAAGGGAAGTCACTGTTTTCAGATGGGGAGTAATTTCTTTGAGGAGGGATTGAGGGAAGTGTTGATTCCCATGGCCTGGGGGCTTGCTGGAAGATGCCTGTCAAAGGAAATTGCCTGGGGCTACAAGTTGTTACTGGGCGTAGAACTAGGGGCTCATTTGGTCAGAGGAACTAGGGATGTTAGTGCCTTGGAGATTGACCAGGGTAACTGGTTACCCATGGAAGAGATGTCCCTGGGCATACTGTTGATAGGGGAACCCCAGGGCTCCTGGGGATCCCGGGTTGCCAAAGGAGGGAGGGCGGGGCTGGAGGATCTCGGGTTAGTGGGCACACCCTTGCCCAGGCGGGCAGTGGCCGATCCCGCCAGTTGGCCCAGGGCCCTGCCCGACCCCCCCCTCCCTCCACCCCAAGCCTAAGAGGGGTGGGCGCCAGGTCCCACTGCTGACCCAGCTCTCTCCCTCTGCTCCACGCCCGAGCAGGGCTGGTGGAGCTCCCGAGGGAGAAGGTGGAAGGCACCACGACTGCGCGCAGGGGGTGCGTGAGGCGGGGGGGGCGTGGGGAATGCGGCAACCTGTCCCCCCCGCGACCAGCCCAGCCCCCGTCACCCCCCCCTCCACCTCCAACCGAATGGTTTGCTCCGAGCGCCCTATTTAATCCCCGCGACTGCAGCAGCGCCGGCTCCCTCCCGGTCCCCGCCTCGGACCCGGGCTCCGAAGCGGCTCGGGGGCGCCCTTTCGGTCAGTGTCGTCGTCTACCCCCTCCCCAGACCCAGCCCCTGGGGACCCAGGCTCGCCAGCGCCCAGCCAGGGAGCCGGCCGGGAAGCGAGATGGGGGCCCCTTCCGCCCTGCCCCTGCTCCTGCTTTTCGCCAGCTGCTGGGCGCCCGGCGGGGCCAACCTCTCCCAGGACGGTGAGTGAGGGAGGGGGCGGCGCCAGGGGAGGGGGGGGTGGGACCGGGGCGGGGGTTCCGACCGGCTGCGGGGGCGGAGGGAGCCTGTTGGCTTTGTTTGGAAGCGGGGGTTAAAGTCGCCAGCCGCTGCTGATACCCCTGTGTCTGTCTCTGAGCGTCCGTGTCTCTGTGGATCGTGGGGTGTGCCGGGTATGCCCCCTCCTTGTACACCGTCGAGTGTGTCTGCGTGTGCAGTCGGGGTTTGGGTCTGTTATAAGCATCCCGGGGTATGGATGTGTTGATGTCCGTGTGTGTGTCTGGGTGTGCGCGTCTGTGTTGGTGTCTGGTTCTGCGTTTCTGTGTCAGTATCTGTGTGTATGTCTGTGTCAGTGTGTGTTGGGGGCGGAGTGAGATTTGTCGCTGTTTCAGTCAGGGCGTGTGTCGGGTGTTTGTGTATGTATGTCTGGAGAGGTTGGGTAGCCAGTGCAATTCCCCCAACTGCTGTATGCAAACATTTCTGCTCCCCAGCCCGTCCGCACCACCCGCGGCAGAGCTCCGAGTGGGCAGGGAAGGGAGCCTGAGTGAGGCTCTTGAGGGGGGCGTGGGCAAGGAAGTGGGGGGCTTCTTCTTGGAGCAAAACAACAACACTGGGCGGAGAGGGCCCCGGGATGGCAACATCCCTAGCGGTGGCAGAAGCTGGTAAAAGAAACCCAGACGAGAGCGGAGGAGGGGGATGGGGGAGGGCAGTGGGGAAAGGCTGGGCAAAGGGAAGGATGAAGGTATTTGGGGAGGAGGATGCATAGAAAACCCAAAGCTTTCCTGGGCTAAGGATTGATTTTCCAAATTTGGGGTGGGGTGTCTTGCCTAGCCCCCTCTGCTTCAGTCAGGAACTCAAACCTTCTTGGGTTTGTCACGGTAGAAAGATGAAGGAAGGGGGGGGAGAAAGGAGGCGGGGCCAGGGGTGAGGGGACTTGGGGCCCCCTCCTGCCCTGGACCGGGCTATGTAGGTCAGCTCTGTCGGGGCACCTCAGCTTTCTTAAAGGCTGCTGACGATTAATGGGGTGGCAGGGGGCAGTTTGTAGGGAGACCAGGAAGGGAGCCACAGCTTCGAGCCTCAGGTTCCCGGAGGAGGGAGGGCAGGCTGTGAAGGGACCAAAGGAATGCATCCTTCGGTCTCCTCCGCCCCTGTGTGAGGCAGGCTGGGCTGGGGGAGGGGAAGAGGGACCGGGACCTCTGCAGAACCAAGGGATATGGGGACAGTGAAGGGGAGGGTGGTGGCTATGCCCGGCCAGATGCCAACGAAAAACAGAAAGAACCGCAGGGGAGGAGAAAGGGGAGGCGGCTCCTGGGTGATGGACCCAGTGGCCAGAAGGGATGGGCACAGGGCGGGGCGGGGGTGGAGAGGGGAGGGGTTGAAACTGGGGATGATGATGTAGAGAATTTCATCTGAAGGAAACAGGCGAAGAGCCAGGGAGCTGGAGGAATAATTGCTCCATCTCGCCTGACCTGCTCCCCCAGCCCTGTCTCCATCATGATAAAGGAGTTTCTGCTGGTATGAGGACACTGGGGATCTCCTACCTACAGCTGGCTGGCTGAGTCCTTCTACTCTGTACCCATTAACCCTCCCCAGGGGAGTTACTGCCCAAGTCACCATAGAGACAGCAGCCCCTCCTCTCCCCTGTGTGGAATCCCCCTTCCCCAGAGGACTGTCCTGATGACCCTACTCACTGAGGAGGTGAAGAGAGTCCTGAGGGAGGGCAGGCTAAGTGCAGGGCAAGGAGAGGCTGCTGGGTGTATGGACCACAATAACGAGTCTCTACTAAGCCTTGACTTTCAGCTGCAGCCCCTGGCCTTCCCATCCTGGTAGCTGGGTTTAAGAGACACAAGCATGACCCAAACTGCCCCTGTTCGGCCATGGGAACTGATGGGGCCAGGCTGAGACCTAAACAGAATGAAGTCATCCCAGAAAGCTGTTAGCTCAATCCTAGGATGTAAACATTGGAGAAGAGAGAAAATCCATACTCTGGCCAAGTCTTTCTTCACCAACTGCACTATTCTTTCTTGGTCTTCAATTTGGGCTCCAGCCCCCCCCCCCCACTCAGGCTTTAAGGTTTAGAGGAAGAGAAATGCTTTATCTATATATCTATATCTATATCTATATATATATATATACATATATCAGAGCAGTGGCTTGAGGGAAGAGTGGAAGGCAGTAAATTTTGAATGGAGAATGTCCGGAGGAGGGGTTGAGAATTTGGGGATGGGGAGGGAGATCTGTTCCCAAGACAGAGTCAAATCAAGCATCATTTTCCTTGTAGAGCATCATCTGTGCAGACAGTGGACATATGTCTGGTTGTAATGTCTCAGGATGCACTGATGTACAAGAGGCACAACCACATGTGATCTTCTATCTAAATTAATTCTACTTCTTAGCTTCAGGATCAAAAAAGACCCACTCTGATGGGGGAGGTGGGTGCATAGTTTTAATGCTCATGGGTGGTGATCCTAAGGCCATTCTGCCCAGGATCATGAAGAAGGTGTGTCTAGTACCCCTGACTTGGCCTGAGGTCCCTGGGCAGGGAGCTAGGCAGTATATGGCTTACCTGGTAACATTTGACCAAAACAAGAAGAGACGTGGTGTGAAAGTTTAAGGACAAGATATCCTAATACACGGATGCTGGAGTGGTCAAGGGTGTATGGCAGAGAGGCTTTTTCCATTTAGAATGAGGAAAACAAACTTCATATGCTGCTGGGGTATACAGCTCCCTGAAGTACAGCATACACTTTTTTTTTTAGGTTTCATAAGGCTGAACAGGGATTGAGAGGTTGGAGAAGGGCAAACAATTGTTACCTGAACCCGGCCATGAGTGCTGTGGCTAGAAACTCAGGGATGGCTTAGATATTCAGAGCTTGCCACCTGCCCCTTCCTTCTCACGTTTCTCCACTAGTATTGGTAGAAGTTGGCAGTTCCAGCTTTGGGGGATACAAGGCCTGTGAACTTAATGTATTCTGTGGTTGTCTTTCTGGTGAGCAGCTCAACATTCAACATTGTAACCAGACTTCCTTGGATTCTTCCTTTTCAAGTTATTTCCAGCACTCTGTGAGTTGATCTAGTGCAGAGACAGACAGGTGGGCAGCCTCACTTTGCTTTATACCAGGATATAGCAGTTTAACTTTGGACTGCACTGCCTCACACATGAATATCTTTTCCTTCCCAATGACCTTCTGTCCACTGCCATCCATTCTGCAGCCCCCTGGCCAGGTGCCCAGTGCAGAGATCATGCCCAGTGTGCCGGAGAAATCCAGCAGGCATTCACTCTAGAGCTGCCCACAGATCTGCTTGGCAGACCTACTCCATCCAGTTTCTGTTCCTAGCTGCAGCTGTAGCTGTTCTGTTTCTGTTCCTGTTCTCTTCCCAGTTGCAGCTGGGAACCCCTGGGAAGGAGATGCTCTCCCTTCAGACATGTGCATTTTCTGGCACAAAGAAGTTGAAACCATCAGAGAGACACTGGTATCATACAGTCTGTCTGATGTGGGGTCCAAGCTGTGGCATATCAGCTGCCTATCCAGCAGTTACCCCAAAGATTCTGTCCTAAGCTCTCCCTAGGGCTAGGCAGCACTGTTGGTTTTAGTAGTTTCTTTTAGTACAGTGGTTTTCTCACTTTTATCTTTAAAGATGTGAAATTCCTTTATCAAATAAATAAAACAGATCCAAGGAGAATTACTCTTATTGAAAACAGATAAGACCTGGAGCCCTCTCACCCTTCTTCTTGGCTTCCCCTACACTCCCCCTAATCCTTAAGGCATAGACAGAGGTTCTGCCACATACAGTTTGAAATCCTCTGCCCTAGACTAACAGTAAATGAGACAGCTCACTACCCTTAGGTGTCTTCTCTCTCTCTCTCTCTCTCTCTCTCTCTCTCTCTCTCTCTCTCTCTCTCTCTCTCTCTTCTTCCAACTGAGGAGAAAAGGAGGGCCAAATCTAATTTCAAGAGCGCCTTGTTGGAGACATTCACTATTCACTTGAAGAATGACTCATAGTTCTGCAGCCATAAAATTCCACAGATGGCATCTTTTTGGTGCTCTGGTCACTTTGAAACAGCAGACTAAGTAGTTGTGCCATTGCTCTGAAAATCCTTAGGTCTGATTTTGGTACCCCTTGGTATTAACTACTACTTCCTTGCAGTCCAAATAATATATACAATAGAATCAAAAGCTGCTTGTCCTTAGGTCACAAAAAAATAACCTAGGAAAAGATCCTCACAGTTCTCATCAGAGAAATAATAAAACCCCTGGGGCTGTGGCTAGTCACATTCTTTGTTGCTTCCTACTCCAACAGAACCAGCCCAACAATCCCTTTTTTGTCATCTATTTCTCAGTAATGGAATTTCACTGAAGGGTGGTAATCTAGCCTCCAGGTCCTCCATGAAAGCAAGCTGTGGACTGGACCAGCTCCTTACTGACTACTGAATGAAAAAGCCAGGGTATTAGATAGTTTTGTTAATTATATCTTCTCCTTTCATGTTTCATGCTAAAAGTTAATATTTCCTGTTTAATCATTGGCCATAGGTCAACGTACTGGAACAGTTTGTTTCCTGGATAAGGTCATGTCCTAGAAGTCCATCCATAAATTCCGAGAATAGCCATCCTCATGGGAATGCTTATAAGAAATAGAGAGAAACAAACCACCAGAAAAGCAAGCCATCAGAAAAAGATTCAGGGTCTCTAAGAACTCAGTCAAATTAAGAACAAACACTCCACGTAATTGTAAAATAGAGGAGAACAAGTCTCTGAGGCCAAAGATCTGCTTCTTCCTCTAGGATCAGCAGCAGAGATGATTCTTTACAAGGTCAGAACCAGCTGATGCTCAGAGGTTTTATAACCCAAGTAAAAACCCAATCCAATGCTATCATAACAAGGAGATCCATCCATTCTAGCACTGAGAAGTCAAGTTGTCAAGAGTCTTGAACACATGAAGCTGCTGAGATTTTTTACAAAATATAAGCGCATTAAAGCTACAT